AATAGCAACAATAACAATAATGATAATAATAATAGAAATGATAATAACTATTATTATCATAATGATGATAATAACGATAACCATTGTGTTCACATTAATGTAATAAAAAATCATGAACAACGTGTACAATTCGATCCCTAAGTTATACAAAAAAAAATAATTGAACAAAACATTTATTAACCGTATTTTTTGCATGACAATTAGCCTGAAAATCTTTTAGAAGCGCATAACTACAAATTATATGAGTATTGAAAATGAATAATCTAAAACGGCTGACAAATAATTACGAAAAACTAAGCTTAAAGAACAATAAAAAAAAAAATCAAAATATATAATAAAGCTGACAATAATACGAAAACTAAGCTTAAGCAATGAAAAAAAAAATAGAAATATCTAAATAAAAGCTGACAATTGATACGAAAAACTAAAAAACTAAGCTTAAAAGTAACAATGAAAAAAGTCAAAATAATAAAAAAGCTGAAAATATAGCGAAAAACTAGCTGTAAGAACAACTGAAGAAAAAATAAAAAATAAAAAAGAATAAAATAAACAGCTGACAAATAACGTGAACGAAACAACACTTAGCAGCTGTAAAGAACCTGCAACACCACAAACAAAAAAAAAAAAATAAAAATTAATATAATATAAATGAAAGGCTCGTACAATAATGACGAAAATAAAGCTTAAAAGACATGCAATAAATAAAAATCAAAATAAATAAAATAAAACAGCTGACAATTCGAATGAAAAACTGAGAGCCTATCAAAGACAATAGAAAAAAAAAGAAAAATCAAAAACATAAATAAATAAACAGCTGACAATGAATGGCGAAAAACTAAGCTTAAAGAACAATTAAAAAAATATGATAAAATAAATAAAAAAAATATAAATAAAAAGGACACGATACAAAGTTACCGTAAAAGACTACTTGGCAACGAGCTCATGTTTAATCTATCTTCCCGTATTCAGTTCATGGCGGGACGATGAAATAAAATTGTTTAATTGGCTGTAATGTATTTTAGCAATTATGCAAATGTGCCAGATAGCTCAATAACAAGTGTATTAACTCGGGTAATTGATTTTTCTAATGAATGATACATTTTTTTTTTTTTTTTTTTTTTTTTGTTAGATGAAGAATGAACATTCGTTATATTGATATTGCCGTCTGAATGCAGGATGATCTTTGATGTTGACGGAAAGGATACTTGTGTTAACGGCTTTGCAAGAAAACTGATAACATGATAAAAAGAGTAATGATATAATTTTCATGAACATAATTACGTTAATAGGTTTTCTTTCCTTCAGAAATAGTTCATATGGCGGTGAAAGNATTATTATCTTTATCATCGTTACTATAATCATTATTGTTATTATAATCATCATTGTTACTATCATTACTATTATTATCACTATCATTATCATCATCTCTATTATTATCATTGTTATTATCATCATAATTCCTATCATTATTGATATTGCTATTATCATTATTATAGTTATTATTATTACTCATATCATTATTGCTATCATTACTATTACTATCATTATTATCATTATCATTATTATTATCATTACTATTATCATCGTCGTCTTTATGATTGTAATTATCATTAGCATGATAATTATAATTATTGTTACTATCAATATCATCATCCATATCATTATCTTTATAACAGTGATAATTGTAATGATCATCATTTTTATTATCATTTTAATACTGTTATCACTATTATCATTATCATAATCATTTTAGTATTATCATTATCATTATGATCATTATCATCATTATTACTATCATCATCGTTTTCATAATTTTGATATTACCACTATCATCATCGATACCATTATCAGTAATGTCATTATCATTATCATCATATCTTACATATCATTATCATTATTACCATAATATCTTACATATCATTATCATTATTATCATAATATCTTACATATCATTATCATTGTTATTATGTTCATCATCATCATTATCATTCCCACTGCATCCATTGTCAGTTTAAGTAGTACCAGAATTACGAAGAGAATTATCATTGTTATTCCTGTTATGATAAATAACATTATTTTTTATGTCTTCCTTTTTTCGATATATATTACCATTGTTATCATATTCATTATGATTATTATCGTCTTTGTTATTATCATCATTATTATAATCATTATTATTATTATTTACTACTACTATTATTATTACTAGTAGTAGTAGTAGTACCATCATCATCATTATTATAACCATTATTATTATTACTACTACTGCTATTATTACTAGTAGTAGTAGTAGTACCATCATCATCATTATTATAACCATTATTATTATTATTACTACTACTATTATCATTACTAGTAGTAGTAGTAGTGTCACTATCATCATCATTATTATAATCATTATTATTATTACTACTACTATTTTCATTACTAGTAGTAGTAGTAGTACCATCATTATCATAATCATTATTATTATTACTACTGCTATTCTTATTACTAGTAGTAGTAGTAGTACCATCATCATCATTATAATTATTCTTGTTTTTGTGATTATAATTACTGGAGAAGGCTATAATATCCTGGTTATTTACCTATCCAATTGCAATTATGTTTTCACTCTCCTCAAAACCTCATTTCTGATTTTGAACATTCTTCTTGCCATTTCAGGAGCATCATGTTTTCGCTTCAGGTCCTTGCTTCAGAGTGCCCTCCCCCCCTCCCTCTCTTCGACACTTTCCCTTCACATAAATCCAGACAAGCAACCGATTTTTTAAATTATCATCTTTTTATTTCGTTGATATTTGTCATTTTTCACTTGATTTAGTTCAGTGTCATTCGGTATAATGTCTATTTCAGTTTTATGAATCGTTTATCATTGCTATCACCATTCAGTATAATATCTATTTGTTATCTTTCCTTTATCATTGTTATTATCATCATTCCTATAAATCTTCGTTATTCTTGTAATCATTCTCATCAGTATCATTACATTTAATGTCTCTTTATTAATTCTATTTCACGATATCATTATCATTTTCGTTAGTTTTACCCTCAGTACTTCTTCTATCCTTATTATAGTAATAATTCCATTGTTAATTGTATTAATAATATAATTCTGTATTTGATATCATTATTCCTATCAACCTCATTATCATTATCTTTTTTATCAGTATCATCATGTTATCAGTATCATCGATAGGCATTATTATTAACCTATTTTCTTTATTACTATTGTTATCATTACCATTGTCAGTACTAATACAATTTACTATTGTTATTAGTAATACAATTGATATCATTATAATTATTGTTACTAGTATCGCTGTTGTTGTATTTATTCTTGTAACTAATATTGATATTGTTTTTATTCTTATCATTATTATTTTCATCATTATTGTTGTTTTCGTGTCTTTATTTTCTTCTGACAAAGATATATTCCAAACCGGTCAAATAAATCTCTTGTATTGTGAAAATATTCATTTTCATTCATACTTTTCCACATTTGTCAACATGAATACGGTTCATTATTTTTATCATATTATTACTATTATTATCATTATTACCATTTTATCATTATTATCATTATTATTGTCATTATTATCATTATTATTGACATTATTATTATTATCATTATCATTATCATAATTATTATGATGATGGTTACTATTTTTGCTATTATCATCATTATTATTGTTGTTGTTACTATTACTATTAACATGAATATCAATATCTTAATTTCTATGATGATGATATTATGAATAAATAATATAGTATTATTATCACAGTTATTGTTACTAGTATCATTGTTCTTGTTGTTGTAGTTGTATTTGTTGCTGTTTATGTTATTGTTTTTGTTATTATGATTATTATCATTTTTATCATCAAACTTATTATCATTTTTATCATCATTATTATTATTATCACTATTATCATTATCATTATCATTACTATTATCATTTTCAGTTTCATTGCTGTTACCATTACTATTATTATCATTGTCATCATTATTATCATCATCAATATTATAATTATCATAATTATTATCTTTCTTATCATTATTAGTCATAATAATAATTATCATTATAACTGATTTTTATTGTTATCATCATTATCATTATTGTTGCTATTTTCATTATCATCATCATCATCATTATCATTATCATTTTATTATCATAATTAATATTATCATTATAATCATCCTCATTATGATTATCATTATCATAGTATCATCATTATCATTCTTATCATTTGATTATTATCAATATAATCATTATCATTATTACTGTTATCGTTATCAACATTATTATCATTACCATTATTCTTTCCATTATTGTTATCATTACTAATATTGATATCATCCTTATTAACATTACTAGTTGTAGTAGTAAAAATGCTATGTTTATCATCATCATAACATCATTATTGTTGCTATTACCATTATCGTTTTTATCATCTTCGTAATTATCATCATTATCATAACCATCATCATTATCGTTATTATCATGATTATTACTTTTATTGTCATTACTACTTTTATAATTGCTATTGTCATTGCTATCGTTATTCATATTATTATCATTATTATTATCGTTATCACAATCATGATCATTATCATTATCCATTTCATCATTATTGTTATGTCTTTATTATCATTATCATCATCCTTTTAACTATCATCATCCTCGCCATTACAATAATTAATTTCAACAATTACCATGTCAGTAATATATATATATATTATATATATATATATATATATATATATATTATATCATAAATTTCATTTAAAAAAAATCCTCATAAATTCGGAATTCTTATACTGTTTTTTTTTTTTTTTTTTTTTTTTTTTTTTTTTTTTTTTTTTTTGGGGGGGGGGGTATTTGAAGCATGCCACAATCATCAATGTTTGTTATCAATCAAGCCACAAAAAAAAACATACATATCATTTTATTCTTCAATAGATCATCAAACGAGAGGGAATTCAATCAAGATACACTCAACGCTGATGTTTAATGTTTTATTTGATGAAAATCCATACAGGAGACACATTAGTTTCACACAACACTGAGTACTCAACAGCTCGCTGGGTCGCCGTGCTTTGTACAGGATTGTCTGCGTTACTGACTCGGATATGGAAGGTAACGACGCTTAGCTGAGGTTCTGGTTGGGAGGCTGCGTTACCTTACACCGTGGGATGAGAGGTTATCCCTTCCTGCAAGATGCGCGTGTCACCTTACCGAGAAGGGAGCCTGTAACTCGGTCACAGTTACTGCTTTTACCGCGGACTGTGCGAATGCGGTGATGGAGCTTCGACTTCGGGTTAAGGTGTCTGTGATTTATTATTAACCGTGACAGAGTCTTCACTCCAGAAACAATTTTGCAAGTCTTTTACCTGTATGGCAATGTTGGATTCATTTTTACATCAAGACAAGCAGGTAAACATTGATTCCTAACTCCAAGCAAAGCCGAAGTCATGGCTCTATCGTCGCATTCGTATCATCTGCGGTAATGGTGGCAACTGGGGTAATGGTGGCGCGGAAACTGTCACCCTTAACGAGGAGACTGCTTGTTTGCCACTTGTCAGGGAAAATGTTTTACCAAGCAAGGGTGGACAAGGTAAGTTTTCCTAGCTATGAGGATATATGAATCGACTTGAGAATTATTTTCCTTAGGAAAAAAGGGAGCTCAGACGCCAGAATATATCATGGCTGCAAAACTATGCTATCGGATTTTTTTTAAAAGCTGTATAACAACTACTGACAGATTGATCTTCTTCAGCATCTGCAATACGACTGATATGCGGTTGATACGGGATGTAATCTTTGTATCATGATCAGTCACAAGATAACTGAAGAATTTAGATAAGAAGAGGGAATTTTTGTCAAGAAGTGAGGTGTAGCTGTAGTTCCAAGGATAAATCAGTGTAGTTTATATATTTTTAGTGTGTGCGTATAAGTATGAGTTTGTGTGTGTGTGTGTTTGTTTGTGTGTACATGTGTGTATGTACTTCTATGTATAGTGTATGCATATATGTATATATGTATTCATCTATAGACAGATAGACATAGAGAAATATAGACAGATAGATAGATACACAGATACTGCATATACCTATTTGGTGTTCACCTCCCTTTACTGTGTGTGCATGAAGCAACTAACAAATGACCCGCAGCTTTACTCTAACACATAACAACAACAAAAAAACTAGAAGTGAATAAATTATACTGAGGTATTGAAGTAAAAGCCACCATACAGCAGTATATAATCTACAATGTCTATGGCAGCGGTCTTAAAGGACTGTTCTCTCTCTCTCTCTCTCTCTCTCTCTCTCTCTCTCTCTCTCTCTCTCTCTCTCTCTCTCTCTCTCTCTCTCTCTCTCTCTCTCTCTCTCTCTCGCCAGCTACAATGACACGTTCGTTGGGTGGCCTTCTGTCAAGATTCTCCGTTTTACAGAGGTGCGTTTGAAATGCCTAAAAAGAAAAACCCTCACAAAGGTGCCATGTGTTTAATATAACCCTTTACTCGTTCAGCCACACAAAAGGAACAAGATTCCTCCTCAGCATCCGACCGAACTTATCCACGTCACCGGATCCTCTCCTGGCCGTCCACTTGACAGCCATCTTCCACCCAAAAAAAAAGAAAAAAAAACTAAATGCCGCTTAAAAAATGAGAGTCTTTGATATTTACAGAAAAAAAAATAATCAGGAAACTTCCGAAGTGATTCCAGGATCAGGATCAGGAAGGTCCCTTTTTTGACCACTACGAACCCAACGCCCATCGGAAGGAGTCAATCTTTGGTACATTGAAAATTAGCATTGCCCTTCGCGTCCACCAGAGTCTTTGTCGCCGCCATCACGGGCAATAGGTAACCTCAGTATACCACCTGAGTCCAGAGAGGGATGTAGGTGACCGTGTCCTGGGCGTGGAAGTTCTGGAAATGCAGAGAGGCGCGCGCACTCCGGCTGGGGGAGGTCGGGCACGGCGAGAACGAGGGGCGTCCGGTCGTCCCCCTAACCCGGGCGTGCCGAGAGAAAATCTTCATTTGTTGACGAGATGAAAACAAGAGAGGAATTTTGAGCTTTGTGGATTTTTCCTTTTCTTCTCCTTCTTCTTGTCTTGTGCGTCGTGCGTTGTATACGCTTTACAAAACACGTAAAAATGAGGTTATATGTATAGTATCCAAAGTGTCTTCTGCAGATATTTGGTGAGATTATACAAGTTCATTTTTCGCGGATGGCGAATGCCTCGTTTTCGGGACAAGACCGCCATCGCCACCCTTCGAGCGCGTTGGATAGGAGGACTGCGATCTCCGTCCTGCTCTCTCAATCTACGACAAAGGTCCGCTTCGCCAGGCAAGCCGTAGCGATTCCTTCCGCTTCGCCAGCCTGGTCATCCTCGGCGTATCCTTCGCGTCCTGCCCTTCGTCCCTCCGTCCCCGTCCCTCCGTCCCCGTCCCTCACACGTCCTCCTCGCCAGCGTCATCTCGTCACCAGCACAACGCTCCTCCAGGTCGTCGTCCTACCGTGAAATGACTAGATGTCGGAGCCGGGACGCGTCTCCTGGCATGTAGGGTCCTCACTCGGTTCGTTCTGGCCACGCCCTCTGCCACGCCCATTCCTTCGCTATATTACAGGGTTATCTAACGCCGCGTCTCGCCCACCGTCCGTGTGACAGACGCAAGCGGTCAATATTCTTATAAAGAATTCGGAATTAGATAGTTAATCTTCTACAATAACATTAATATTCGCTTCCCTCGAGAGCTTAGTCGGCTCCGCCCATGATGGAGGCTATACTGAAGGAGGCGAGGGAGGCCGAGCTCGACGCCCCGAGGTTCAGGGGCTCCTTCTGCGCCTCCGACCGGAACCTCCCGAGCAGCGTGGGCGGGCTCGACGGGTTGCTGTCGTCGTCGTCGTCCACCAGGTCCTCCTTGCCGAAGTCGTCCTCGTCGTCGTCATCGAAGTCGGCGCTGTTGATGGGGTCGTCGGCGTCGGCGAAGGCGGCGTCCATCTGGGGAAGACAGCGGCGCCTCGTCAGGGGTGTGCGCCTCTCAGGCGTTTCAGCTCACAGGCAAATGTACATAAACACACACAGACACACACACACACACACACACACACACACACACACACACACACACACATATATATATATATATATATATATATATATATATATATATATATATATATATATATATATATATATATATACATAAGTCTACATAAAAAGAAAACCAAGCCGCCGTACCTTGGACCGCTTGCCCGCCCGCGCGACCTCCTCCTCGTCGCTGCTGCTGCTGTAGGTCCTGGGCGCCGCGAGGCCGCCGTCCCGCTCGTCGTCGCCGGCCGCGCCCGCGCGACCGCCGGCGAGAGCGGGACACGGCGGGGGGCGACGGCATCTCGAGGGAGTGGAGGGGGGAGTCGGAGGAGGAGGGGGGGAGGGAGCCCAGGTCGAGGTCGAGCGGAGACGTGAGGTTGTGCGTGAGGGCGTGGCGTCTCAGGTCGCAGTTCCGGCGGAAGACCTGGGAGGAGAGGCAACAACGCGCATCAGAATGGGTCAGAACCGCCCCTCGTCGCCGCCCCGAGAATCAGGACGCGCGCTATCAAGGTCAGAACCAACAGCTCGCTTTGGCGGCTACCTTATCGCACTGAGGACACGTGTAGGGCTTGATGTCCGTGTGCGTGAGGAGGTGCGTCTTCAGGTTGCTCCTTTGGTTGAAGCTTCTGCCGCACGTAGGACACTTGTGCGGCGACTCCTCCATGTGCAGGATGCGGTGCACGGCCAGGGTGCGGCTCTGGCAGAAGCCCTTCCCGCAGTCGGTGCACTTGAACGGCTTCTCCTTGCTGTGGATGTACCTGCGGGGAGACAGAAGGAGGAGCGTGATTGGGAGAATTTACCTTAAAAGAGATCCGATTCGCCGAAAAACTATTCGATTACCCGCCACCCTCTAAATTTCCCTCGATTATTCTCCTTTCGCAATTAGACTTTTACAAAAACAAAAGCAAAAAATGAAAAAAACGATTCTCTTTTCACAATTATGCTTTTACAAATACGGTTTAAAAAGAAACAGAAAAACGAGAGGCCAAAAGATGGAAGACAGCGCCGCGCCAGTCCTGGATAAACAGCGCATCCGCCTCACTCAATTCCGATCACGGCCGTAATTACATCTCTGTGCGCCGGGATCGGTTCGGCTGCTGATATTACCACCTCGATTTTATTTCAGGTCCCGGGTAAATATCAAATCGTAACTACAATTTTAATGAAGTATAAAAGTCGTAATTATCATATATATATATCGCGTTGGATTCGGCGCCACAGTTGCAGTCCCTTGCGAAACCAGTCATTAGCGCCACACCTGGTCCGGGGATCACGTGGCAGCAGGCAAGGAACCAGCTCGTGTGGCTCCAGCTCGCTTCGGCTCACTTCACATCGCTCCGGGTCACTTCGAGTCACTTCATCCCCCGCCGCATCGCAGCAATCTCCCTGGCAACGCCCTCGCTCGTATTTTCAAAAGAGAGTTTACAAATCAACCTGATTAATACTGATAAAACCGGAAATTCAAATCTCCCGGGGTGAGTCGGTGCGTGACGTCCGCAGATAAGGCATCTTTTCATTTGGTAATTACTGCCTTGACAGTATGCCATCAGCGATTAATTTGATGCACGTTTTGATGAAATACATGACTGCAACGTCTGCTGGGTTATTTGTTGCATAATCCCTCCCCGTGCAATAATGATATGCGTCTTATCATTGGCTGCTTCCAATATATGGCCAATAATTTGATAAGATATTATGCATTTTTAAAGCTTTTTGCCATTAATGCTTATGACCAGATAAATATTAGGCACCGAGGGTATCTCATGAGTAATACTGATCATAATGGTAATGATGGTAATACTGATAATAGTAATTATGATATGAATAATAATGATGATGATGCTGATGATGATGATGATAGTAATGGTAATGACGATAATAATAATAGAGTAGTAGTAATAAATAACAATAAAAAATAAGCAATGATAATATAATAATGATAATATAATAATAAAATGCAATAATAATCAAAATAATAATAATAATAAAATATAGTAGATATCAGTAATGATAATGCATAATGATGATAACAGTAATAATAATAATCATGATCATCATTACTATTATCATTATCATATCAATTGATTATTATTATTATTGTTGTTGTTATTACCATTATTATCATTATTATTATTACTATTCATATTTATTATATGATATTTATTATTATGATTATTATTATATATTATTATATTATTATTATTATTATTATTATTATTATTATTATCATTATCATTATTATTGTTATCATCATCATTACTGTTATTATTACCATTGTCGTTATTATTACTATTATCATTATTATTATTATTATCATCTTTATCAATGATAACAATAATGATAATTTTAAATATAATAATATAACAACAATAATAATACATAATGATGATAATGATAAATAATGATAATAATTATCATGATTATTATGATAATGATAATGATAATAAGTCGCAATTATAAGAAAAATAAAAGTGATAATGAATTGATAATAATAATATCAATAATACAATAATGTTGATATAAATTATATAATAATAATGATGATGATGATGAAAATTGATAATTATAATAATAACACTAAGAATAAAGTAATGATGATAATAATAATAATTATAATAATTATTATAATAATTAAAATGATAATGATGATGATGATGATGATAGTAATAATAACGATAATGAAAATTATGACAATGATAATAATAATGACAATAACAATAATAACAACAACAATAAAAATAATAAATAATATAATAATAATGTAAATATGATAAATCCTGCCGCCCCTACACGCCCCAAAATCTAAAAAGAGAGAGCCCCTAAGGACGCCCACACGCCCACACATCCCGCCCCTACACGCCCCCAAGAGAGACCCTGAGCACCCCACACGCCCACGTAGAAGACGCCGTGAGTTCCAGCGCCTCTCCTTCCCTCCCCCGAGGCCGCCCACGTCTACGGCCTCCCTCGAGAACAAAGGCCGCCCATCCCTCACGCCGGCCGAGTCATGGTGGGCGGCGAGTGTTGGGCGGTGATGGCGATATTCGATTATTAATGATACTTGTTTTGTTTTTTTTTTATTCGAAGAAGAAAAGGAAGAAGAAGAAGAACAGGAAGAGGAAGAAGAAGAAGAAAAGGAAGAAGAAGGAAGAAGAAAGAAGAAGAAGAAGAAGAAAAGAAGAAAAGAGAAGAAAGAGAAAGAAGAAGAAGAAAGAAGAAGAAAGAAGAAAAAGAAGAGAGAGAAAGAAGAAGAAGAAGAAAAGGAAGAAGAAGAAGAAAAGAAGAAGAAGAAGAAGACAGAAAGAAAGAGAGAAATAGAAAAAAAGAGAGAGCAAGAGTATATTTTTGATTGCGTTTTACGTTTCTCTCTCACATGCACATCACACATCACTTCATATCAGCCTTTTCCTAGAAGTCCAAGAAAACGGACATGCGCGCGCTACAGTACTAATAATTTCCCTCAAAATACTTTCTGACTCACAAATTGCCAAACACTTTATCAGACAGGAAAAGCTCCGGGCTATTGCAATTAACCCTGTTCGTGGAATCAGTTCTGCGCAATCAGACTAAATAACTCTTTCACACCTAAACGGAAAGTGATTTGCATATGGTAAATACAGACGAATGCGCTAGCCTACGATTGAAAATATATATATATATATATATATTATATATATATGTATTTGTGTGGTTTGAGAGAGGAAATAGGGGCGTTTTTGACCGCTTCTCCTCTCCGGTCGATGTGATTCTGACCGCCCTTCGTAATGGGACGCCCTCCTTAAATTCACCCGGGCCTTATTCGGACGTAATTCCCGTCCGGTTGTCGAGGGAATCGCTTCTAAATACCGAACGCGTCACCAAAAGCTGTCGACCATTAACAAAATACGCTTCTACGTGTAATAATCCACAGAGGTAGCGCTTTATTCCATGGGTTTTATGAGCATCAACATCCGACGAGAGTGGTTTGGCGCGGCTATGGTGTTCGACTGAGCCATAGTGCACGCTGGCCGCCAGTCACTTGTCATTAATTATCCCGCTCACCGCCAGAGGGCTTGTGCGTGTTGCCGCCTCATAGGAACTTCCCTTTCGCCATAACCGGGCAGGTGAGTCAGCCTTATAGAGTTTCGAGAAAAAGAAACTGTGGAGCTTTTTTTCTCGTACTTAAGAAAGGGAGATAATCGTGTATGGAAATACATATGTAAAGTGTGCGTCTCCGCAGCGTCCTTTTTACAAGCTGTTGCCACCTGCCATGACATTCCATGCGGCATATTTTTCTGGCAGCTACAGGCACGAGAGGAGAAAAAAAGTTAAACTAAGACTCCCTTTTACATCTCTTTAAACTCGTCTTATGCCTCAGTTATGAGTATTTTTAAGCCGCTGAAAGATATGTGGGTGGAATTTTGTTTTGTTTTTATAATATATCGAAATATAAAAATATGAACATTTAGCATATTATTAAATTCCAGAAAGACTTACAAAGCGATTGCAGAGAGAGAGAGAGAGAGAGAGAGAAAGAGAGAGAGAGAGAGAGAGAGAGAGAGAAACAGACTTTCATGGAAAAAAAGAAAAAAGTATTAATGGCAAAACCCTTCCCGGGGAACAATGATATAAAGTGCCGGCCGCGGGTAGATAGGGTGTTGTGGGAGGGCAGCGCTGGCTTAACTAATCAGCGCCAGGACGTTGGTTGTATGCAAAGTAGCAGAGAGGGCGAGCCTGTCCCCTCCCCGCCTCGCCTCGTCTCGTCCACCGCCCGCCCTCGCGCCCGCCCGCCCTCACCTCACCTCCCCTCGCGGGTGCCTACATCCACATATCCACCGCTTGGCCGTGAACGCGCTCTCCTGCCCTGTTAGTCTGCTTGTATTCAAATCTTAATCTCGTGGGCATTCTCTGGCGCTCCTTTCACCCAAGTCTCTCTCGGAGGGGAACGTGCATTTTAATAGGTCTTCCTCGAGCCGACTTCACCACCATCTGAGAACCGTCGGGCTTCCACGGGCGCAGGGCGAGGCGGGCGCTCAACGGGCGGGTCGGGTCGTCTCACGGGAAACCTCGCTTTCCCTGAGGTGCGGCCGAGGCTCCCGCCTCGCCGCCCTGGCCGTGTTTAACCGCGCGCGTCCGTTACGTCACGACACCCAGGCCAGAGCAGTTGCTTGGATAAACGTAAAATGTTTTGACCTTCCTCCCGGCAGCGACGAGACGAAACTGCCTCGTAGACCCAAGACTCGCCGGGTAAATCCGACGAAGCCAAGACTCGCCGGGTAAATCCGACGAGCCTCGCGAGTCAACCTGCGAGAGAAAAGATATAAAGCGAGAGAGGCTCTGATCGCACTCGTCCCCGGCGCAGCGGCGTGTGCAGATGCCCTTCAACGCTCGTTGTCTCTGAGTCAATGACCCTTATCGCTCTTGCATCCTAATGTCCGAATCCCTTCCCCAGTGGAGATATACATTAATTCTCGCCAAATATATACACGCAGCCATAAAGGAGTTTCGAATCGCATCGTCCCTCCGTCGCGAGTCACAGCCCGCTTCCATAGATCATGGCCCCGCAGCTTAAACTCCCATAAGATGTAATCTCCCCGGACGTCGCACGCTGTTAGAACCCTTAAACGGCCGCGCCTGAACGTATTCTCCTTTCTTTAAGGTGTCTACACCCTAGAGGGAGATTACGGAAAAGGTGAATATCGGTTCGACAGACTGACAGGGGGTTGGATTCTACATTCTTCACTTGTCTCTGCGCATCGGTGTCTGGGGTCCCTGTTGCTCG